GTACGTTACCAGCACGTATGGGTGGTATGCTTTGATTAGCATATGTGCATTGCTATGTTCCCTCAGCGTTCGTGTGCCTTTTAGTATGACTAGAGTTCGCCCAACCAGTGTTTGGTTTGTTTGATGGTTATTCTAGACATTCCTCGAGAAAAAACTAGGGTGGATGGTCTGCAGCACCAGTTAGCCGAATACATAGCGAATAGTCTAACGATCAGCTCAGCCCGTAGTGGAGGACAGAGTGATCGGGTTCATGGTGAGTGGCACGATCTATTTTAGCTCCAGCACTATAGCCCTTGTCACTGCTGCCACAGTCAGGGCTGTATTATAGACATGAGTCTATTGCTTCTTCCATATAGCAATTAATGATGCCAACCATACAGCAAGTAACTTTGAAATTGTTGGCTAAAGTTTTTATTGAAAATCATGATAAATAAACTTAAATTACTGATAAGAATGTATCTGTATCGGAATCTGGAGAGTAGCTACTAAGCAAATACCTTCCAGGTAGAGTTTGCACTGATGTTATTTGCCAGGTAGTGAAGCCAAGACAGACTTGGACCATACAGGTGATGCACTAACTAGTAATAACAAAGTTTAGTATCAAGTGTCATTTTTGAAGATATTGGTAATAGGTATGACATGTAGCTATTGTGAGAGTCTTCGGGTGTTCTGTGTGGTCTAGGGTTGAGTTGAACGTAGGCGTGCTTGAGCAGGGATTGCTGTCGTCTCATTGGTGATTTGGTAGATGAATACAAGATGCTGATCCTTTCTGCTTTCAGAGAATGATTGCCACTTTAGGTGCTGGAGCATCACTGTTATACTGCTATCTCTGTGGTAGTCGTTTATAAAAAAAAGTGCCACTGACCCATGTACTTTTTCGACTTTTGCAATATTCTGTTTGATGTATGGGTCCCACACCACCAAACAGTAATCCATGACCGATTTGGCTAAAGAGATGTATACATTTTGGTTTAGGCTTTCTCTTTTATGTAAAATTAAAGTAGACGAAAATGTTAGAAGTTTTATGTAGGGCTTACTTCTAATGATATCGTATGGAAATTTCAGTTTGGGTGTAAGTGTAAGTGTAAACTCAAAGTGTGTTATTATTAAACCTTTGTATTTCTTCACATAGGGAAGCACCAAATTATCACTACTTCACCTAAAGTAGAGATAGAAGAGCTTCATAGAAGTTACTGTCCAAGCCTAGTTCAATGCAACAAGCTTGGTGCCTCCTGCATTGACTGCAATTTCAGCCAAGTCTGCAAATATGGCCAAGAAGTGAATATAACATGCATGGCAAAAGCTGGAGTCAACTGTACGGTAATGACATAACAAATTGTCTGCCCTACACCAAACAACTGATCATGTGTTTTAGTACAATAATTATCTCTTTATTGGGCCCCAGATAATAAGCACCATTGTGGAAAGGACATGATGTGCCTTTGAAAAAAAATCCTTACGCATGTTATTTTCATCAGGAAAGTGCACAGGAGGACCTTGGTTAAACAGGATATTTTCTGTAGAACAAAAGATTTGTATTTATTTTTTAAAACTGCTAGCCTTCGATGAAAATCTGTCATAAATGTTCACATACACAATACCATTTCTTGATTACCATGTGTCCCCAAAATGCACATTTAGCACAAATAAGCCTCGTGAAATGATAAATATTGTTTGCAAAATGTAAACAAACTGCCGTGACCATTTGTTCAAATTTAACTTGAGCACAGCAACAGTGCCTAGTTTAGTCTATAACAGTAGCTTTGTACAGCAATGAAATAAGCTATTTTTTTTAAAACCTTATATAAAATTAGCATTAAGAAAATAATAACCTCTTATTCAAACTTACTTTCGTAAATAGACATTAGCAAAGTTATAAGAATTTCAGCTTATTTAGTACTATATCCCATGCCTAACATGCCACCCTGCACAAAAATTATCGATGTTTTTTTCTGATGGGAAGATAGGAACGCATGGTTTGAACAACATGCCGCAGCCTGACAATTATGACCTACATGTCACATATATTTCACCTACATATGGCATATAAGAAAAGTTTCATAATGGAATATGTCACTTGTGCACTATGTGCATATGTGTAGGTTTCAATTATATGTGACATTTTAGGACATATGTGACATTTAGGGAAGGCAGCTTTTATGTTAAAAAAATATGTTTATTCACAAAATGCTTGCATAGAACACTAGTTTGATTAGGTACATCATGGGTTTTAGGGTGAAAGCCATTTTAAGTTTTAACTGTATGTTATAAAACAATCCTAAACCTAAAAGCAAGCAAGCAAACTATGTAAGTGAATGAATTATTGAGTGAGTGAGTGAGTGAGTGAGTGAGTGAGTGGGTGGGTGGATAGGTAGGTAGGTTGATTGGTTCATATGTCAGTAAGTAGGTATGTAGGTAGGTAGGTAGGTATAGGTAGGTAGGTAGGTAGATAAGTAGGTAGGTAGGTAGGTAGGTAGGTATAGGTAGGTAGGTAGGTAGATAAGTAGGTGGGTAGGTAGTTAGGTAGGTAGGTAATTAAGGAAGGGAGGAATAAAGAAAGTAACCTACTTACTAACAAACGATCCAATCAACAAACAAACCAACTTGTTCTTACCCCAATAGTTAACTTTGGTAATCAGTTATTTATTTTCATGATCGATTTTTTAATCGGTGGCTGCAGATGACCAACTTTCGATTATAGTCGATTATCGGGGAATCACTAGTTACGGCAACAAGTAAATCAACATAACTATCATGGATGAATGGAGTAATACAAATCCATATAAAATTTCCTACC